AGGAGGATCACTATGAGTCTGATCTGTGTAGCGAGACCCTGTATACCCTGCACTAAATGCAAACCAAAAAAAAAATTGTCTTTGGTTTTGCAATGATGAATGAAAAAATCTTAAAATTATCCAATCAAACAAAATACACAAGGATTTTTTTATTCATTTAGTACAGGGTCTACAGGGTCTCACTACACAGATCAGACTCGTAGTGATCCTCCTGTTTGTCAGCCTCACAAGCACTGGGATTACTGGCCCAGACTCAGTCACCAGTCATTGTGCACTTGTGCATTGGGGCCAAGGCCAACAGGGCACGCTGGGGATTGAACCCCTGCATCTGCCTAAGCAGACACTAATCCGCTGAGCTCTCTGGTCAGCCCTCGAAAGATTTTTATGTTGTTGTCTTTTCAGTTAAAACAGTGAGAACAGAATTACTTACAGGAATATAACGATAAGAACTGCTGAGCCTGCTGCCAAAGGGAAAAGGGCATTATTTTCACAGAACCAATAATTCCCCATCCCATCTCCATTTGATGTCAACCAAAATATATTGTTGGCCATTTAGTTAAAAAAAAAAAAAATAGTTCAGTGGATTAAAGCACAATCCCTGGGCCTGCCGAGCCAGCCCCACCCCCAAGGCATGCTGAGAGGCAATTGAGACTGGGTGTGATGGCGCGCACCTGTAATCCCAGCTCTTGGGAGGCTGTAAACAGGTGCATCACTATGAGTCATCTAATAGTGAGACCCTGAACACCCTGTAGACCCTTCCCTAAAAAATACAAAAATAAAATAATAATAAAAAACAATAGGCTTGTGAACATACCCTACATACTTTATATACAACAAAGGAATAGGAAAGAATAAAGAAAACTATGCTAAGGGGCTGGGGAGATGGCTCAGTGGAATAAGTGTTTCCCTGGCCAGCACAAGGGTCTGAGTTCAATCCCCATTTCCCCCCTCCCCCAAAAAAAAAAGAAAAAAGAAAGGAAAACTATGCTGTAGCAGTCAGGACCAAATTGCACTTCTCTGTTTTCTTTTCTTTTTTTTTTCTTTTTCTTTTTTTTTTTTTTTTTGGTGAAACTGGGGATTGAACTCAGGCTCTTGCACTTGCCAGGCAAATTGCAATTTTTAACTCAGAATGTATTCTTGGTCTGTAAGAATAGAGTTCTGGAGTAGAGTTGTGGCAGGTTCCCTTTTTAATAGACACCTCCCGTCAGCTGCTGGAGCTCATCCAGTGTACCTTCGCCCTCCATTGCCAACCGCACAGGTGTGTCAGCTTCACTGATTGGCTGCCCCTGAAATTGGAATCTGATCTACATCATTGACAACTTGTCACTCACAGTAGGCTTTCGTGAGTTTACTAAGCAGTGCGTGCCTCCAATCTTTCACTGCATCACAGAACCATCCTCTCCTGCCTCCTGCAACTGAATAGGATCTTTTGACTCCTTCTTTGGGCTTTTAGTTGGTCACAACAAATGCCTGAGTCTTCTTAGCTGCCCCTTCACAAAAGAGGTACCAGGTCGGTACCGAAAGTGTACCTCTCCCATCTAACCATAACTCAGCACCTGGTGACCCGCCTCTCTCTACCCTCACATACCTTCCATCTCCCCATTCTCTGAAAAACACTATTCTCTCAACTTCTATGAGATCAACTGTTTTAGATTCAATATACGAGATCATGAGGGCCGGGGAGATGGCTCAATGGAATAAGCGCCACCCTGGCAAGCTCAAGGACCTGAGTTCAATCCCCGGTTCTGCAAAAAAAAAAAAAAAAAAAAAAAAAAAAAAAAAAAAAAAAAAAAAAAAGAGATCATGTACTATTTGTCTTTCTGTGCTTGGCTTATTTCACTCAAGATAATGTCCCCCAGGGCCATCAGTGTCCCAAAGGACAGGCAGACTTTATCCTTTTTGTTTAATGTATTTAGTACAGGGTTTTACTACATAGATCAAACTAGTAGTGATCCTCCTCTTTTCAGCCTCCCAAGTGCTGGGATTACAGTTGGGAGCCACCAAACCCAGTCTCATTCGCAGTCTCCGTGCACCGCGGGGGCGGGGCTGGCATGGCATGCCAGGTATTGAATCCCAGTCAGCAGGTGCTTTAGTCCACTGAGCTATCTGGCTGGCCCTGGCTTTATCCTTCTGATGGCTGTGCCGTATTCCATTGTACCCGGGTACACAATCTGTCTAGCCATGCGCCACATGCTTGGCTGTTGTGACCTGTGGTGCAACAGATATGTGTGCGGATGTCTCTTTGATGTCCTCCCTTCTGGATATATATCCAGGAGGGGGCTTGCTGAATGCACTGTAGCTCTGTTTTTAACTATAGAGGAGCCTCAGGATGTTTCCATGGTGGCTGCCCTGATTTACATTCCCACCAACTGTAGCCAAGGGTTCCGTTTACTCCACATCCCCGTGGGACACTTGCTATGTCTCTGACAGCAGGCACTCTGAGATGGCAGGCAGCATGTGTCCCTGATTTTGATTCCCTTTGCCAATTTCCCAATGGGGCCATGTGTCTATTGCTGAGCTCCCTGGCATCGGTTGAGCTCAAAGCTGATTGGCGCACTGTTTGCCCCAAGCCAAAGTCTTATTTGCAGAAGACCTGAAGTTTGGCCCCTGGGCACACAGGTTCGTCCTATCTGCCAGGCAGGTCAGTTTCAGCAGGGTCCAAACTTCTGTGGCCCAGCCCCCGGCCCAGGATGCAATGAAGGCACTTCAGGCTCCCACAAAGAAAGGACTTACTCAGGACCTCCTGACCCAGCCACTGTCCCCACACCATCTCTCTGTGCATCTGGCTGTTCTCTCTGCAGCCCTGGAAGGTGAGTCACACACACATTGCAGACAACATTTTCTTCCCTTTACATGGGAGGAAGTGGAGTTAAGAGAGACACAGAGACAACGTGACTTTCCCCACGCAGTAAGAGTCAGCACTCAGCAGGGCTTGATGGTGAGTGCCTGTCATCCTAGCATTCCGGCATGCCCAGCCTGGGCAATCCAGTAACCTATCAAGACCCTGTCTCAAAATGAAAAATAAATAAAAGGCTAGAAGTGAAGCTCAGTGGCCAAAATAATGTGGCCTCAATCCTTAGCACACTGCCTGGGGCTGCTACCTCTTCTTCTGATCAAAGCCACACCCACTAACCAGGAAACTGTGGTGGCCAGCAGTCCACCAAGAGGTACCTGGGCCACCTGAACTTCAGAGCCGCCCCCACCCAGCACTAGCTGGGCCCTTCAGCCTGGCACTCCCAGCCCAGCCCACGACCTTTGGCCCTGCAAAAAGCTAGACCCTAGTTTCCATGGTCCTGTTTACCTGCAACTTCTGCCTCTCCAGGGCCGGGCATGGGAGAAGGTGTGGCCCTCTGCCTAGGAGTTGGAGGTGGGAGACAAACTAGAAATAGTCCCCAAGACTCAGTTCAAGAAAATCTTCCACTTTACTGGAGGAGTTCTCCATTTGTTTTATTCTGTGTTTTGTTTTGGTTTGGTTTTTTTGGTTGGTTTTGAGACAGGGTTTCTCTGTATAGTTCAGGCTAGTCTTAAACTCACAATGTAGCCCAGGCTGGAGCTGAGCTTGTGGCACTCCTCCTCCTGCCTAGCCTCCTGAGGGCTTGGAGTATGGCTATGTGCCACCACACCTGACGAGCTCTTGCTTTCTAGTAGAGGTTAATAAGACCAACGAATGTCTTTGCCCACCTTAGGACATTCTGGACGTCCCAATGGAGAAGAAAAACTGAACAGAGAAATAAACATCTAAAAATAAATATGAAAAATAGAGAGTAAGTCTGATGGCAGTAACACCACGCAGGGGCGCAAGGGCCTGCGTTCAATCGCCGGTTCTGAAAAAAAAAAACCACAAGCAGAATATATAGTATAAAAAAGGACTGGCCACTGCAGTGTAAAGAAGCTGTGATTAAACCCAGGGCTTTTCCACTAAGCTGAATCTCCAGCCCTTTATCTACTTTGACACAGGGTCCAAATAAATAGATTGTCCTGACTGGACTGGAATTTGCAATCTTCCTGTCTTGGCTTCCCAGGGTATGCTACCACGCTCAGCTAGAAACTATAGTTTTAACTAGAATGCTTCGGGAGGCCTCAGTGGGTAAAGGAACCTGAAGGGGTCAGGAATAAGCTATATGAACATCCGCAAGAGTGTCCCTTGTAGAGGGAACAGCAAATAGAGGGAACAGGAACGCGGCAGCCTGAGCTGGGTGCATTTGGCCCTCGGGGACAAGCGCCAGGAGAGCCTTGCACTGCAGTGAGAGGCGGTGAGGTCGTGGGTGGGCAGCCTGGTGGCTGGGACCTGGACAGCCCAGGGCAGCTCCGAGGGACTGCGCCTGGCAAGGAAGGCCCAGTGAGGCCGCGGGCTGTGCAGGGCTTTGACTTGTTTCTGCGGGACCAGGTTTCTGTCGCCAGAGCTTCATGAAGTGGAGCTGGTGCTCTCTCGGGCCCGCAGGGAGGGCAGTCGGTATTCCGAGGGGAGGGGACAGGAAAGCACCTTAAAGGCATCTGGGCTCCCTGCCAGCGCTGGGGGTGAACCTGAGCTCAGTGCGGGTCACCGGGGCGCTCCAGGTCCCTCTCCGGCCGGCCGTGGCTCCCGCGCCCAAGCCCACCAGCCGGGAGGAGGCCGCAGGGACCGCAGCAGGTGCGCAGCTCCAGCCGCGCCCCGCCCCGCGCTCCTCCCAGGCCAGCGTCCCACGGACTTGGCCGCGCCCCCTCCCACGCCGCCAGCGCTGGGGGCGCCGACTCTGAAGCAGAGAGGACAGAGGAGGGGGGGTTGTCAAACAGTTTGTGACCTGCACCCCAAACCGCTAAAGCACCCCTTCCCTTCCCACGGCCAAGGGAATCGTTGGAGACGAAGATCCAGCCGGGGTAGGAGGGGCGCAGTATCAGCAGACATCGGCTCCTACCTCCCCTCCGTAATCCTCCCCTCCCTCCCCCTCCTCTTTCCTCTCCTCCCCTCCCCCCAGCCCCGCCTTCACTCCACCCCAGCCGCACGCGAAAGGTAGGAGGGTCCACGTCACTGTCCCGGAGCCCGCCCTTCCCGCCCAGGCAACGCTGGACACCTAGCTAAGTCCACCCAGCCTCAGCCTAGGGACCGCGCAGTCGCCGCCGTCGGCCCGCCGAGTCGCCACAGGTGCCAAGGAGCTGCCGCGGCGGGCGCAGAGCCGAGCCGTCCGCGCGCCGTCCGTGCGCCCCAGAGCAGCCGCGTATCGCGGCGTCGTCCCTGGACTGTGAGTCCCGGGCCCCGCGGCCGCCCGGTGGAGGTGCAGCAACCATGTCCATGGGCCTGGAGATCACCGGCTCGGCGCTGGCTGTGCTGGGCTGGGTGTGCACCATCCTGTGTTGCGCGCTGCCCATGTGGCGCGTGACGGCCTTCATCGGCAGCAACATCGTCACGGCGCAGACCATCTGGGAGGGCCTTTGGATGAACTGCGTGGTGCAGAGCACCGGCCAGATGCAGTGCAAGATGTACGACTCGATGCTGGCCCTGTCGCAGGACCTGCAGGCGGCCCGCGCGCTCATGGTCGTAGCCATTGTGCTCATTGCCTTCGGGCTCCTCGTGGCACTCGTGGGCGCCCAGTGCACCAACTGCGTGGAGAACGACACGATGAAGGCCAAAATCACCATCTCGGCAGGTGCGGTGCTCCTGCTGTCCTCCTTGCTCACCCTGATCCCCGTGTCGTGGTCGGCCAACTCTATCATCCGGGATTTCTACAGCCCCCTGGTGCCCGAGTCGCAGAAGCGCGAGCTGGGCGCGAGCCTGTACGTGGGCTGGGCAGCCGCCGCGCTACTGCTGCTCGGGGGCTCGCTGCTCTGCTGTTCCTGCCCCCCCAGCCAGGAGAAGTATGCGCCCTCCAAGATCGTCTACTCTGCGCCGCGCTCCATCGGACCCGGCGCCGGCACGAGCACCACTTACGACCGCCGGGACTACGTGTGAGCAGGCAGGGGAGGCCGAGCGCCTACCTCGGAGACCCGGACGCCGGGCAGTTACTTGCTGGACTGGGAGACCCGTCCTGCTCCCTACTTCTCCATACACCACCCCGCTGCAGGCCAGGGAGCTGAAGGCACCGACCCGCATGAATATGGAGACCTCATCCTTCTCTGGTCCCAGGATGAGGTGGCCGCCAGATACTTGCCAGCCCCTTCGGCCGTGACCCCCAAGCCCGCGGTGGGCAGGGACCGGCAACCATGAAAAGGGCCATTTCTTATTTTGCAATAAAAGCCTTTTGTTTTTTGCAATCACCGGGTGCCTCTACCTCCCTGCGGAACGCACCCTCAGGGGTTGCCCTGGGCTTGGTACTTCTCTGGTTGCTGAACAGAATTTAGAACAGCACGGAAGTTCAGTCAGGACAGGGGTGCAGACTGAGGCCAGGTGGTCCCTCGCACATGCATGGGGATGCGGGGAGCTCGTGAGGCCGAGCCAGGCAGGAGCACGTGGCACGCATGGCTGGGGGAGGCTGGGGAGGTGGCGGGGCCCCTGGCCTCCTGTCTGTGCCATCTTTTGAGCAGAGACCTCGGATTCTCGCGACTGCAGCGGCATTCCCAGGCTCCGTGTGGGAGCCTTGTGAAAGAGCAGGCTCCCATACTGTGATTTCATATGCGGAGAAGGAAAACAAAGAGGTCTGGTATTCAGACAAAGCACACCATCGAAGGAGAGCTAGTGCAAACCTGCTCACCTGGAGAAGAGAGGGCCCCACTTCCCTCCTGAGACCCTCAATGAGAGAAGGGGAGGACTCCCGAAGGAGTCTCAGAAGGGGTAGGAGTAAGCACTGTTGAGAAGTTTGCTTCTCTGAGGGAAGGAGGGTAATGTCTGAGCTCAGAAAGGCCAGAGGCTTCTAAGAAGTACCCAGCTATCCCTGTGAGGCAGCACTGAGACAGGAGACAAAGAAAGCAAGATTCAGCCAGGTGGAGTGGTACAGGTCTGTGGTCCTCCTACCAAGGGGGCTGAGTCAGGAAGATGGCAAATTCCATCTCAAAATTAAAAATAAAAAAAGCCCCTAGGTCAGTGTGGAGCCATGGATTCAATCTACAGTACTGAGGGGTAGGGTGCTTGAGCCAGGTGTGGTGGCACAGGTCTGTGATATTACTAAGGAGGCTGAGGCAGGAGGATCTGAAGTTAGTGGCCACCCCAGGCAATGTGTGGAGACGCTGTCTCAAAATTAAATAAAAAATTTAAAAAGTAAGAGAGCTGGGGCAAGTCTTGACATTTCCTAGGTTCAATCTCCAGTACTAGGAAAAAAAAATCAGGATTCAGGTGATTTGCTTGAGAGCTTTCAGAAGCACAAAGTGAGAAAGGAAGATGTACCAGTGATGGCAGGCCTTCCAGAGGTTTATTTCTTTGTTCCTGGTGGTGGTGGTGGTGGTGGTGCTTTGTTCGTTTGTTTGTTGTCTTTTTGTTTTGTTTTGTTTTGTTTTGTTTTGTTTTGTTTTGTTTCAGAGTCTCACTCTATAATTCAGACTAGCCTTGAACTCACTATGTAGCCCAGGCTGGCTGTGAACTTGTAACAATCCTGCTTCAGCCTCCAGAGTGCTGGGATTACAGGCAGGTGCCACACCTGGCACCTCTTTGAGCTTTCAGGGATACAAATAGCCCACCGAGGCATGTGTGCCACAGGCTGTCCACCACTGTGCAGAACTTTTCCAGGCCACTGATCGATGGTGATGCCATTTAGCAAAATCTTTTATTTTTTATTTTATTGAGAAATAAATATGAATGAGACAGTTTCAAAGCTTAATAATAGGACAGTTTCGATAATCAGTACATTGTACATTGTTATCTTCTTAGTGGTTATCCATAGTACAAGAAGCAGACAGGACATTTGCCAAAATCTCTTCTCGGGGAGCTGGCAGCTTCCATTTGCAGCAGGCTGATAGTGGCAAAACTCTGGGACATCTGAGTAGGGACATGCAGGAAGGAGAAGAGAAGAGGCAGAGACCTGGCAAAGTTGAGTCGTAACCATGAAGACCACAATGGAAACTGGAGAAGAATGAAGTCAGGGTAGAAAGCAAAAGGGAGAAAAGAGTTTCAAGGAGGTGGGTGGTGGCCACAATGTCCAAGGCTACAGTCCGTCAGGCAGCCGGGAAGTTGGCAAACACCTGTAATCTCAGTACTCAAGAGGCTGAGACAGGAGGATCACAACAAAATCAAGGCCTGAATTACATAGTGAGACCCTGTCTCAAAAAACTAATAACACAGGACAGGCCGGTGGCTCATGTCTGTAAGCCCAGGGTCTCAATATGCAGTTTAGTCTGGCCTTGCACTCACCATGTAGTCCAGACTGGCTTGGAGTTCCCAGGAATCCTCCTGCCTCAGGCTCCCCAGTGCTAGATTACAAACATGGGCTGCCACGCCCACTTTAGATGTTTTAGGAAAACACTTAACTCCAGAAAAATTCCCTTGGTTAAGGAATGCCAGCATGTTGTCACCCTGATGACCCATGGAAGGGAGGAAGCGGGTTGCTATTAATAGTAAGTGTGGCCTAACCTGGTCACTTGTAGCTCTCAGGAAAGCTGAGTGGGCAGCTGACTGAGCTTAGAGAGGCCCCCGGTTATCTGAAGGGTGAAAACTCCCCAGGTAGCCGGTTCTTCGAGTGCATGCCACACTGCCTTCAACGCCTGCCTATTCCTATTTGGATGCCTGGGCCCATCAGCAAATGCAACACAGTGGGATAGAACAAATGCAGAGAATCTAAAAGTTTACGACACAAAAGACCTACTGTCCCACACACACTTTGAACGCACTTAGCCCATCCTTCTGGCTGCTTTCTGCAGCAGTTCTGCAGGTCCTCTTTCCTAACTGTCTTTAGTAGCACTGTCGTGGCTACCTTGATGTTGTGAATAGATTTAACAGATTTTCTTTTTTTTTAAATTTTTTTTTATTTATTTATTTGTGTGTGTGTGTGTGTGTGGCCAGCTCAGCCCACCAGGGGGCGGGGCTGGCTGGCATGTGGTGCTGGGGGATTGAACCGCGGTCCCTGTGCTTTGCTAAGCTTGTTCTAAGTAGGTGCTTTAGACTACTGAGCCATCTCGCCAGCCCCCAGATTTTCCTTTCATGATCATTTTTTTCTTTAGGGAAGCATGTGAAGTGGCACAGTGCCAGATGCAGTAAATAAGGTGTGTGGAGCCACACCACTGTGTTCCTACCATCTGCCTTTCCATTGGATGGCACTTGGCAACAGCATTCACTATATTTTTGATCACACCTCATAAAGGTACTCAGGAACGCCGGGTGTGGTGGGCACGGCTATAGTCCCAGGAGTTGGGAGACTAAGACAGAAAGATGGCTGCTAGTTGGAAGCCAGCCTGGGCTACATAGTTCAAAGCCAGCCTGCACAGCATAGCCGGACCCTGCCTGAAAAAATGAAAAAAAAATTTAAAAAACGAAAAAGAGAGTGCGCACTTGGGAAACGGACTCCCAGAACTGCTTCTGAAAGTGGCAAAACCAAAGGAAGCAGAAGCATTTTGAGGGGGACTCATGGCAATGCGTCTTACTATGATTTTTATTTAAACATTCACCTGTCTTTAAAAAATCACATGTCATATACTCCGAACAGAAGCTACTAGTTTCCCCTGGAACCCTGGGCTCCCGTCTTGGTAACAGGGCCACATGCAATCAGGGACCCCACTCTCTTCCAGGCAAAGGAAAGAAAATAAGTAACAGGTGTGGGGAGTATGGGGGTGGATCCTGGGAAGGGGTGTGGGCTCAGCACCCGAGAGGACAGGGGTGACCTCCAATTTGCACGCACCTCCTCCTGGCCTCACGGCCCATCCTAAAGCTCTCTGCAGTCCCAGAGTCCTGGATAAGTGCAGGGTGCTAGAGACCACAGCTGGGAAGGGTCCCAGGGGAGGGGACTCAGAAGTCCTTAAAATAGATCAAGGCATTCTGTCCAAAAAACATGACCCAAACTGGGCTTGACATTGCACTCCTGTCATCCCAGCTCTGGGAGGCTGAAGCAGGAGGAGCGAAAGTTTGAGCTCAGCAACTTCCATGCTCTGCCAACGACACACAGCTCACCTTGCCTTTGATGGCCTTTGCTCCCTGTCCCCCTTCCCTGTGGGCCACGTGCATCCCCGGGTCAGGGCCCAGAACAGACTGCAGAGGATGCTGGTCAGCAGTTTCGATGGAATAGGGCGGTGTGAAGGGGGCCAACCCCGAGTTAAGCACACGATGAGAGCCTAATTAGCGTGCATCGCCGTCTTAACCCAGCTGGCCTATATTCTCCCTGGGGACCTGGGTTGGCGGTGTAAACTCCCTGGGCTTCTTTAAATCCACCGCCCTGTCCCTCCTCAGCCAAGCTGGGGCTCTGTCCCACCCCACCCTCTGTGCTGCAGGCCACTTCAGTCCTGCCATACCTGTTTGAGCTCTTCCTCCTGCCCAGATGGAAGCCAAGTGCTTTCTCAAGCAAACACAGCGTCCATTGTGGGCGCGTTGAGGTGTGTGGCGGCCCAGAAGGACAAACAGTACTTTCCTTTCTTCTTTCCCTCCCACCAGAGCTCCAGGAAAGGTCACCACGCCAAGACAGGGTCACCCTACAGAGCTGTAAAGAAACTAGCAAGAGCCGGGTATGGTGGGGCATGCCTGTAATCCCAGCCCTGGGGAGGCTGAGGCAGAGGATCACCTGAAGGTTCAAGGCCAGCCTGGGCTACTAC